CGCTGAATGACCACAGCTTTTTAATTGAGTTTGGTGTGGCAATTTAGGAAAGAGTCCAAAAATGACATATGTTACATAAAAAGAAAGCAAATTTAATCAAGGTTAGGCAGCATGATAAGGTTGTAATCTGTAGCTGATCTAATGGGAATAGTATAAATTTATACTACCTGCACTCTCAGTGATACACCTTTGCAGCCCATTCTGCTACTCTTTCAGTCTCAACTGTGCTATGGAGGCCACAAACGCAAACCAGATGTGTACCTTATCCCTAAGGAGTTTATGAACTTACAAAAGGTAAAAACATGACCCAAATGACTTCTAGTCAAGGTCAGAAGACTAGAGGTACAGATAGAGAACTAAATGCATTTAGAGAAATAGAGCTTATTTCTTGCTTGGGATCAGAAGTGATTATGTTGAGGAGGGAGTATCTGAATTAGACATTGAAGGGTGGTTCTGAGTTGAAAATGCAGAAGATGAGAGGCAGTGTTCCAGGGTGGGGAGGGTGGGAAGGGGTGCATTTAGACAACCAAGGTAGAAAGGCCCAGTGGTTCATTGTGTTCAGTAGAAGCACAGGCCAAGTGGACATACTCCATGGGTCAAACTGATGCTCTGGCCCCTCACTATCTTGCCTGTTCTACCTCACAGAAACATTTCCAGTTCCATCCAACATGCTGTGCCCTTTTTTATGTATCCATGTATTTGCACATGTTTTCCCTACACCTGGAATGCCCTTTTCACCTGACAAAAATTCTTCTCAGCCTTCAAGGCCTCCCTCAGAGAAGGCTTCCTCTTCTGGGCAGCCTACCACCTATGTGCTGTTCCTGCCTCTCTGTTGCACCTGTCGTGTCATGATCTCATTGTTTTCCTATCCACATTCCTTTAGGAACTTTGTCTGCCCTCAGAATCGGTGGAGCTTTTGAAAGGACGGATGTTGGGGCTGCACCCCAGGAGATCTGATTCAGCAGGTCTGCAGGGCCTGAGGCATGGTGAGAGACACCACCTGCCACCTCAAGGAGAGACTAAGACTTGACTAAAGTTGTTTTTTTTTTCTTCTGAGCAGTGAGAGGCCCCAAAGTGGTTAACTACCCTTGGGAACGCTCAAGTGAGAGGCATCCATTCCTTGGGAAATTAACCCCAAATTGGGGTTCTCTTCCTGCATTTATTTTCTACACCAGGAAGTTACAGGAAGAGAGCATAGGTGGGGTTATAGTTTAACAGTATAGGCTGGTAACTTTCAGTGAAACAAGTCAGATGACACTCCATTAAGGCAATTAAGTGATCCACCAACAAAGCTTGGTCTTAGCAAACATTCCTTCTCCCTCCAGCAATTTTCCAGTATCTTTACATACCAATCAGTAACTAGTCTGTCCTTGGGCCAGCAACCTTGCTGTGTCACAAATCTTTATCTTACACCAGAGATTTTATAGCCTGAGGAAAATTTCCAGTCCTCTGCAAGGTCAATACTTGAAACTGCAAGGCTTTGGAAAACCAGGCCCTGTGAAGTACATATGCTTTATAGTATATTCCACATCTCCCCCGTTTTATTTACTTAAAAAGAAAAAGCTATAGATCAGGTTGGCACAGTTAAGACATAAGCATTTAAAGCAAAGTTGGTATCATTTAGCATGGCAAGTCCTTTTAATTTACTTCAGGTGAGGACTGGTGATGTCAGCATCTCTCAGGGCAGCTGCAGTGGCATCATTCCAGGTGCTGTGAATTGGGTGTAATTACCAATTGTTGAAACTCCGGAATGGGATTCTGCTCCATAAAATAGTTGATTCTGAGTCCAGAGAGTTTGTTAATGTAAAACTGTCCAGGACATTACTGCTTTCAGAGCATCCAGTCTTTTGTAAAATTTTTGATCAATTAGAAGTCTTTTGTTTAAGATCAGGATGTCTCATCCAAGTTACAAATACCCTCTGTAAGCCCAGGGAAAGTTAGAGAACTGCTTTTGTAGAGAAGACGTTATTTCCCCCTTTATGATCAAGGCATTCCTCATAAAACCATTGATGGTCAATATCTTGATTGAAAAGGTCTTACTTTTCTTTGTATATGTCCCATGTGGCTGGGAATGCTGTTTCCCAGGTGAAGATCTGTCTGTTCCACATTGGGGGGAAAGACAAACAGCAGGATGAAGCAGCACCAGGCCAAATTCAGGCAACATAAAAAGGGATCAGCAACCTTAAAACAATAGGATTTGGGGGCCAGCCCGGTGGCGCACTGGAGAGGGCGGCGCTCCTGCCGAGGGTTCGGACCCCATGTGGAGACCGGTTCCCGCTCACTGGCTGAGCGTGATGCGGGCACAACACCGAGGGTTGCAATCCCGTTGCCGGTCCCCGGTATGGGTGCGACAGCGAGGGTTGCGATCCCGTTACCGGTCAGTAAAAAAGACAAAAAGGAAAAAAAACAAAACAAAAAAAAAACCAAACGGAACTTCTAGAGAGACACAATATCTGAAATGAAAAGCATACTGCCTGGTATTAACAGTAAATTAGATATTAGGAGAAGAAAAGGTCAGAAACTTAAAAAAAAAAATGTGCATGTGTATGTATTCTTATAATGGCATTAGCTGGTAATATCTCAAGAGCTTAGAGAGATACTCTGTGACTGGTGGTAAAATGAAACAAATATGGTTCTTGAAGGATATGCAAAGTAAATCTAGTTGTCATTTGATTCACAAGTAGCCCAGGAATGGGGCACCCACGTGGCACTGGCAATAGTTCTGTATACGTCTTCATAAACCAAAATGTCAAATTGTCTCTGCTATTTGTAGTCGTGTATAACATACAGACAAGAGATGTACTCCAGCTTCGTGCCAGTGAGGGTTTTTATTCTGCTGTGTGTGACGTTTTTATTCACTGTCCCCTGGTAGAGAGTTGAGTCCAAAGAAAACCAGTTGGTGGTCCCAAATCAGTGGTTTTCACACAGGGGGCATTTAGCAATGTCTGGACACATTTTTAATTTAATTGTCACGACTTGGGAGTGCTACTGGCATGTAGTGGGTAGAGGCAGGGATGCCGCTCAACATGCTATAGTGCACAGGACAGCCACCCACAACAACGAGTTACTAGTCCAAAGTATCAGTTGTGCCAAGGTTGAGAAACCCTGCTGTGGATGATGATGTTTGTGTCTCTATTCTGCCTAGAGGGAAATGCTCATTATTTCTACTCTGTGAGGGCAGGAACCTTGTCTGTTTTTCTCCCCTCACCCTCTCACCAATGACAGCTGTATTTTTAACACCTGTAGCAGTGTTTCTGGTACATGATCAGTGCTCCATAAATATTTGTGGAATGTTGTTGAAGGCAGCCATCCCCCTTTGTTTTCTTAATACAGACTGTGCTGCCTTAAACCTCCTAGAACATACATCTTTGTATGAGTATGAGTGCCAATATGAGTGCTTTTTTATGGAATTCAAGAAGTGGAATTGCGGGGTCAAAGAACAACATGCGTTTAAAATTTTGTTAGATTTTTTTTTTTTTTAATGGTTGAAGATATGCAGCCTCACTCCTAGGTATGTGCCCCTGGAGAAGCTCACACTCACACATGCATGAAGGTTCAGAGCAGACTGTAAGAGCAGAGGATTGGAAACCACCAGTACATCAGCAGGAGAACAGTGCGCTCAGACTGCAGAGAAAATGAACCACTGAGAGCCACACACATCAAGACGGATGAATTTCACAAAGCAAAATAGGGGGTAATAAAACCTGGACAAGCAGGAGCTGATATCATTTATATGAAGTTTAAAAACATGTCAAAACTATACCAGCCGGCCAGAAAAAGAAAAAAAATAGTCAAAGCTGAACTATATATTTTTAGGGCTATCTGTGTCTGCAGTATAAATACTAGAAATGGCATAAGAATGATAAACAGCACATTCAGGATGGGGGCGTGCAGAAAAAGAAGGGTGTACACGTTGGGAGCATATCATAGACCATCTGAGCCAGTAATGTTGCATGTCATACGGTGGGTGGCAGGGACCTGGGTTACATTGTTCTTTATGGATTTTTTGGGTTCCAGAATTTTATTTAAAACTTTTTTTTAAAAAAGTGAGCCCACATATTGAATTGAGTCCTAAGGACTCCAGGTAAAAAACACATGGGTAAAAAAACTATAAAGAAAGATGATATTTCTTAATGGGTCATGAAATCAACTTAGCGGGCCATGATTAGTATTTTTTAAGAAGTGATGTATAATAGATACCATTAGAGGGCATTCATGTAGGGATGGTAAGTAGTTTCATCAACTTTTTATTTCATTTATAAATGTAAATGTTTCTGCACATGTGTACTAGGTTTTGATGTAAAATGTAGCACTGTGGTATATGGTCAGAAAGGTTTGAGAAAACACTGTAAACAGTACAGATACGTTACGTAGACTTTTTTTCTATGTGAGATATATTTTATAATTTAGAAAAGATTGCAATAATGGATTTACAATGAGAGCAAAATTGCAGCATAATGCTACACTGTAAACAGTACAGATACGTTACGTAGACTTTTTTTCTATGTGAGATATAATTTAGAAAAGATTGCAATAATGGATTTACAATGAGAGCAAAATTGCAGCATAATGCTGTTTTTTTCTTTCCTGTTTTCTTCTTTCTATATTTAAGCAACTAGAAGCCATTTGTGTCAAGGTAACATCTGGAGAAATGAAAGGTCAGGAAAAGCCAATGCCCCCACTGGCCGTCATCCAGCTCAAAACAGCAAGACAAAGACAGCCGCCCGGGAAGAATTCCAGCCTGGTGGGGCTCCAGGTTGCTAGCTCTCAGCTGCTCAGAGTACAGCCCCATGTGAGCCTTGGGCCACAGCCACACTTCCTGAGTGACTCACCGCAGCCTCCTGCTCAGTTGTTTGTACAGAGACCACTGCCTGCCCTCCAACCAGTCCCTGTGAAGAAGGTCATGGTCCCCAAGACTCCAAATGGACAGGGTGCCATGTTGACCCCTTTGTCGGCCTCTGACCCACCTGCAATAACTTCTGTTTCATCCAGTTCAGCACATTTATTTATTTCTAACTTGCATACAAAATGTACTGAGAAACTAAAAAAATCTTTAAAAGTGAAAACACGTTCTGGACGGATATCTCGACCTCCCAAGTATAAAGCTAAAGATTATAAATTCATTAAAATGGAGGATTTGGCAGATGGTCACCTATCAGATTCTGATGATTATTCAGAACTGAGTGTGGAGGAAGATGAAGACCAGAGGGAAAAGCGGGCGTTCTTTGACTTATCGAGCTGCTCCCTGAGGCCCAAGGCTTTTAAGTGTCAGACGTGTGAAAAGTCCTACATAGGAAAAGGGGGGCTGGCTAGGCATTTTAAACTGAATCCAGGCCATGGCCAGCTGGAACCTGAGATGTTGCTGTCTGTGAAAGCCAATGGGAATGTGACCCATGGGCACATGGAGGGAAGGACCGCCAGCCTGACCTCCCTGGAGCTGTCCCCACCATCTGCTCCATGTGAGGGAGGGGCCCTCTCATGCTGTGTCACAGGGACAGAGCCAGCACCTGGTGGCCTGCAGGTAATGTTTCTGTCTGGGTGACAGTGTCCTCATTCCTGCCTCTATCCTTAAATGAATCTTTTCAGTGTCTGATGGGGGTTCAGGTGAAGGTTCGAGCAGGACCAAAATCATCCTAGTGGGAGACCCAAGACCCCCACCGTTGTCTGCACTGCTGCCAAACAGGTGGGAAAGTGTGTGTCTTCTGTCTGTTGGCATGATTTAGTGAGTACATTTGATGGGAATGCAGCTGTCAGTTCTTTAGATCTGGTCAGTGAGACTAAAGCAGTGCCCTCTTGGCTACACTGACATTACAGAGGGTGTTGGGAAAGGTCAGAAGTGGGGGTGGCAGTCCACGGGGTACTTCCTGGGGCATCAGCAGTAACAGGCTGCTCAGCATGTCCTCTCCCCATTTTGCCCCTTCTCAAACTCCCAATAAAACAAAACCAACGTGAGTTACTGTGGGTTTGTGTTACCACAGCAAAATTTCTTTTCCAAATTTTTTTACACTTAAAAAAATTTACCATCTTAACCATTTTTAAGTGTACAATTCAGTGGCATTAAGTACATTCATAGTGTTGTGCAGCCATCACCACCATCCATCTCCAGAACTCTTCATCTTGCAAAACATTCTGTCCCCATAAATACTAGCTCCCCATTTTCCCTGCACCAAACACCTGGCAACTAGCGTTCTACTTTCTGTCTCTATGATTTTGGCTACTCTTTGATCCATTTTGAATTAATTTTTTTAATATGGTATTAGGTAAGATCCCAACTTCATTCTTTTGCATGTGAACATACGGTTTGCCTAGTACCATTTGTTAAAAAGACTGCTTTCCCCATTGAAGGGTCTTGGTGGCCTTGACAAAAGTCATTTGACCATGTATACAAAAATCATTTCTATTCTCTTCTGTTCCATTGGTCTGTGTGTCTATCACTATGGCTGTACCACACTCTTTTAGTACTTTGTAGTTAGTTTTGATATCAAGAAATATGAATCTTCCTGCTTCGCTCTTCTTTTTCAAGATTGTTTGACTATTTGGGGTCCCTTGAGATTCTGTATGAATTTTAGGATGGGTTTTTCTACTTCTGCAAAAAACATTATTGGGATTTTGGTAGCAATTGCATCGAATATGTAGTTCACTTTGGGTAGTATGGACATCTCAACAATATCAAGTCTTCCAATCTAAGAGCACATTTTTTTGACTTCTTTAATTTCTTTCAGCAATGTTTTATAGTTTTCATTGTACTAGTTTTTCACTTTCTTGGTTAAGTTAATTCCTAAGTATTTTATTCTTTTTGATGCTACTTTCAGTGGAATTGTTTTCTTAATTTCTTTTTTAGATTTGTTCATTTTTCGTAAAAGCAACTGATTTTTGTATATTTGCTTTGTATGCTCCTATTTTGCTGAATTCATTTATTCTAACACGTTTTTTGGTGGAAGCTTTATAGTGTTTTCTACTTATAAGACCATATTGCCTGAAAATACGGATACTTTTACTCCTTTCCAATTTGGATGTCTTTTATTTCTTTTTCTTGCCTAAGTGCTCTAGCTAGAACTACTAGTGCTATGTTGAATAAAAGTGGCGAATGTGGGCATTCTTGCTTTATTCCTCATCTTAGAGGAAAAGCTTTCAGTCTTTCACCACTGGGTATGATGTTCATTATGGCTTTTTCATATATGGCTTTTATTATGTTGAGATAGTTTCCTTATATTCCTATTTTGTTGAGTGCGAATGTGGGCATTCTTGCTTTATTCCTCATCTTAGAGGAAAAGCTTTCAGTCTTTCACCACTGGGTATGATGTTCATTATGGGTTTTTCATATATGGCTTTTATTATGTTGAGATAGTTTCCTTATATTCCTATTTTGTTGAGTGTTTTTTATCATGAAAGGGTGTTGAATTTTGGTGGTGCTTTTTCTGCATCAACTGAGATCATATGGTTTTTTTCCCATCATTCTGTGAATATGGTGTATTACATTGATCAATTTTCATATGTTGAACCATTCTAGGAATAAATTCCACTTGGTCATGAGTATAGTTCTGTTAATATGCAGCTGAATTTGGTTTGCTAGTATTTTAATGAGTATTTTTACATCAGTGTTCATCAGGGATATTGGCCTGTAGTTTTCTTTTCTTTTTTTTTTCCTTTTTGTCTTTTTTACTGACCGGTAACGGGATCGCAACCCTCAGTGTCGCGCCCGTGCCAGGGACCGGCAACGGGATTGCAACCCTCGGTGTTGCACCCGCACCGCGCTCAGCCAGTGAGCGGTAACCCAGCCAGTGAGAGGTAACCGGTCTCCACATGGGATCCGAACCCTCGGCGGGAGCGCCACCGCGCTCCCAAGCGGCGCACTCTCCAGTGCGCCACCGGGCCGGCCCTCTTTTCTTTTAATGTCATTGTTTAACTTTGGTATCAGGGTACTGCTGGCCTCATAGAATGAGTTAGGGAGTGTTCCTTCTTCAATTTTTTGGAAAAATTTGCGAAGGATTGGTGTTATAAAAAAATTTTGTTTAAAGGTCTTGGTTGGCTTTACAGTGGTTCTAGAATTGAACAACACTTTATTCCATAACATAGAATAAGTGTTTCGATGAGACGAGCAGAGGAGGTTGGTTTTATAGACAGAAAAAGGGCAGTTTGCCTTTGCTTTTTCAGTATGAAAAAAGAAGAAAAAGAAAAAGGGCTGAAACAAAGAAAAAAAGTGGATTGGTTATTTCAGAGTTACTGTCCTTGTAACATAGGGTCAGGGAGACAGAATAATAGAAAGGTTAACATCAGATTACTTCAGTTTAAGGATTAACACAGGGAATTTTATTTCATGCTGATTGAAGACTGAAACTGGCCTATTAGAAGTTAGCTGTTATCCCTCTCTCCTGATTTTTCAGGTCAGATAACTTAGTTTTTTTGTTTGCTTTTTTTTTTAAACTTTTTTTGGTTGCTGCCTGGTTCAGGGATCTGAACCTGTGCCCTTGGGGTTATAAGGCTGCACTCTAACCAACTGAGCTACCTGGCCAGCGCCACTTAGTTTTAGTTTGGTGACATAGAACCCCAGCACGAGTGACTCCATTCTGATTTTTATTCTGTCTGTTGGGGCCTTGTACAGGGACTTCATCCAAAACAATAGCCTCCTATAATTTTTATTTTATAGGAAAGCTCTCTGCTCCCCCCCTCTTTGCCTAAAAGCAGAACATAGATTTACAAAGACAGAGGTATCCTGCGCTGTTATCTACCAGGGGGAACAAAGGTCAACTACCAAAGACAGCTTTAGACCCTTGTTGGCCTGGAGATGATACTAGAGGAATCTCCTTTGATAAGCTTTTCTAACTTTTGTCTGCCCCTTATTTGCCTTCCCTCAAGTTGCCACCCTCCCGTTGAGACTCAAAGTCCTTTTCCTTTTTCTTGTCTCTTCTCTAAAAATTGATTGTCTTTTCTTTAAGATGTTGTAAAAACAGGAATTCAAAACCACTCCTTTGATAAGCTTTTCTAACTTTTGTCTGCCCCTTATTTGCCTTCCCTCAAGTTGCCACCCTCCCATTGAGACTCAAAGTCCTTTTCCTTTTTCTTGTCACTTCTCTAAAAATTGATTGTCTTTTCTTTAAGATGTTGTAAAAACAGGAATTCAAAACCACTTCTCTGAGAACTGCTCATTCTCTGGGTGTCTCCCGTGTGTATATGGAATGTGCATGTCAGTCAACTTCTGTTTGTTTTGCTCTTGTTAATCTGTCTCTTGTAACAGGGGTCTGTCTCAGCTAAGAACCTATAGGGGCTATTGCTTTTCCCCTACAGTGACCATGTAGTTTATCATCCTGGACATTTTGAGAAGGAAAGGTGTTCTAGTAGTGATCGTGAGGGACAACAGCACACCCAGAACTGAGACAAAGTGGACAACCAGGCTGACTGGCACTTTCTGCTTCCTTCAGTAATAAAATCCTATACCACAGCAAAAGCTGCTTCTAAATATTTGACTTTGTGACTCCAGGCAGCTGGCCTTGGGAATGATGGCCATCCAGATTGTTCCAGATGCTGGAGTGGGGAGGGACGGGCACATCTGTGTCTTTCCCCTCCCTCCCTGAGGGCCACATGGTACCTAAAGCCACAGGTTAACCTCATGTGCCTCCTAAAGCTTCATTGTAACAAAGATTTAGAGGGAAACTCTTTATGACTTGAGGACATACTTTGTGCTGGCTGCCACTTTGAGTGCTTTCCTTTTATCAGCTCACTTAACCTTCTAGCTGTCCTGGGAAGTGTGGGTATATTAGAGGAGGGAATGGGCACAGAAAGAGGAAATAGCTAGACAGTGTCGGATCCAGGATTTTGTTCAGAAAGCCTTGCAAATCCACGGAGATAGAAAGTAGATTAGTGGCTGCCGGAGCCTGGGGAAGGGAGGAATGAGGAGTGACTGCTAATGGGTAGGGTTTCTTTCAGAGGCGATGGAAATGTTGTAGAATTAGATAGTGGTCATAGGTACAGAGCCTGGCGAATGTATTAAATCCACTGAATTGTTTGCTTTCAAAGGATGTATTTTATGGTATTTGAAATCTATCATAAAAAAATAGAAGTCCTGGATAAATTATGAATTAGGGGGAAAAATTCTATCAACTTTTTAAGATGACAGTCATGTGAGAGAGATACCTTGCTTCATTTTGGTCAACACTCCAGGGTTACGGTTTGTCGGCCCAGACTTACTGGCTGGCTAATATTCCTTCATGTCCTGCAGGGTACTTTGTTGGGAAAGTTTAAAATGCATTGATTGTAGTTAATGTGTCCTGATTATGCAAAGGAGAAATAATTAGCAAGTTCCTTGCCTTTGACTTGACATTTTTCTTCTTTAAAGTTTTCATGGGGGTGTATAAAGCATGATTATTTTATTTTGTTTTATTTTGGGGTATGCAACACTCTCTAGAATGGTCAGTCTATAGAAGTTGAAGAGGCGTTGGTGTCTGAACCAGAAAACGGAAGTTACTCAGCTCTTTTGGGATCAGAGGGACACCTAAGACCTAGAAGCGGATACTCTGAGACCCCTGCGGAGTCCAGCACAACTGTCCCTCGGCAGAGCAGAGCAGCTGCCACACAAGCGCATGGAGGCCCTGCCACTGTGGGAGCGCAGGGTGCGAGCAAGGGCAGAGCCGGGCTCAGGGAGGTGCGTCACTCTGCAGCCCTGTCTTGAACCCTATTTGTTTGACATGGTATGTGGTGATTCACTGTTAGGTTTCTGAATTCCCAGATCAACTAAAGAGTTCACCTGAAATATAACCGGATGAAGTAAGAAATAAATTCAAGAATAGTATTGTCTGAAATAATTCATAGGTTTTACCTATTTAAAATGATCACAGAGCCTGCAGTATAACTCCAAGAGCTGCTTGTCTTTATAAGTTTTGGAATAATTATAACCTGTGTTTACATGGAAATAGTTTAAAAAACAACAGAAATGGTTTTCTATTTTTCTGTAAAAAGTTTCAGGATATAAAAGCAGGTTTCAGGTTTTGAACCCTGGAGTGTTCGTTTCAGTTCCCTGTTTTATTGAATGAATTGGATTGACTTGGAAAAGTAGAAGCCTAAATTTATCCAAGTTGTCTTTGGCTATATTTATTTGCCTGATGATGGCCAAGTGAGTATCCTAAAGAAAACAAGTGGAAAACACAGCAAGGGAGAGCATGAGATAATAAGCTCTGGCCCCCAGAAAGAGTGGCTGTCAAGGGGCCTAGAGCCTTCAGACTCCTATGCTAAGTGGAAGAAGTGGTTTTCAGAGAGGAAGTGGATTTCCTGGAAGGTTCTTGAGGCAAAAGGTAACATTACGTGTTCTAGTAGCAAATTTAAACTCTGGTGAATTAGCTTCACTCCCATTTGGGCATGTATGGTGATAATTCCAGATAATCGATTTTCAGAATTAGGAGGTAAGGTAGTCTCTGACTTGATTCATTCATAGCATTCAAAATAGCCACCATTTACTGAGCACCTTCTTCGTGACAGCTCAGCCCCACCAGACCCTGGTGCTTGCACGCTAAGCTTCGGGTAGACCTCATTTCATTTATTGCATGACCTATCTTAATAGGTGAGGAACCTGAAACTCAGAGAGGCTAAATAACTTACACAAGGTCACCCCACAGGTAGGTGGCAGATCCAGAATTTAAGTGCAGATCACCTTGTGTCTGCTGAGTAGGAGCACATGATGGGCTCTGAGGTCAGTGAGGCCCTGTCTACTCTGCCTCCCAGTGAGTGTAATGTGACGATGCTACCAACCTGACCTACCTCTGTCTCACAGAGGACTGGAGGACAGCTTTGAACAGGACCATTCTCAACTCTTCTAGATGAGAATTTCCCCTGAAATGGACATTAATTTATACATTTACATGGTGTCCATCAAGTGTCAGGCCCTGCTTTGGGTATGGAGGGGACAGCGTGCACAGGATAGACGTGGAGAAAGAGGACAGTCAAATCAGTCAGTCAGCAAAACTGTCAGGTGGATGTGAGTGTGAAGCAGAAGATTGAGAGTGTGTCCTGTCCACGGTTGCTAAACTTGTCCACAATTTAGGTCGGGTCATGGTGAGTTGCAAGGCTATATTTGACCTTCCTGCACTTCCTGTACAGTTGAAAGTCACCTGGTCATTTTTTTCTAAGGGTTTTTGAAAGTCATAATTAAACATTTTTGTCTTACAAATGAAAAGGTTTTTCTTTAGCTTTTCTGCCTGTTTTATGACCATCTGTGGCCCTCCTCTGAACCCCTCCAGTCCTTTGCAGCTCCCAGATAGAATAATAGAATAATCTCTTTTCCTAAGCCCCCATCTCGTGACCTCCCTGAAACTGAGAGACCTTCTGTTTCTAAGATTTCCTCAGCTTTCCCCCCACTTTGTAGCTTTCCTGGGTGATCTCAGTCATCCTCCTGGCTTCTCAAACCTTCTTTTCTCTGCAGACTCCCATGTCTGTTTTTCCTGTTCAGACCTCTCTCTGCAGCCTCAGATCTATTCTTTGAATCACCTCCACCTGGGTGTCCTGTGAACCCCTCTGCCTTCCATGTCTGAGCAGAGCCCACTGCTGGTTTCCCATCCACCCCTGCACTGTCACGGGCTGTTGCATCTGCCCGGGTGCTCAAACTGCGAACCCAGAGCCACCCTGTGTCCTATGGTCACTAAGCCCAAAGGACTATACCCTTCCTGCAACTCTCCCTTCTCCTGCCCACACCCCTATCATCACCTGGGTCCTCACCTTCTCCTGGCTGTACATTGGCAGTAGTCTCCTGCCTGTGTGCCGCCTGCGGGGCCTCTGGCCTCCACTGTGTTCTCTGCACCACCGCTCCAGGGGGCTGCTCTTCTGAAGCCCCCTCAGGTGCTGCCTCCAGCTGCACTTCCCCCCTTCTCTCCCCACCCCACACCCTGGCACACAGTTGGCGTCTTCCACTGGGTGCCTACGACATGTGGTGTACGCCCTGATGCTGCAGCTTCCTGCCCTAGCTGGTGAGCTTTGGAGGGCAGGACACGCATTTCCTCATCACCGTGTCCTTGTGCCAGGGCCCAGTACCCAGAGCAGTGCTCAGTGCTTGTCTGGACTAGAACTTTGAACCCAGAATTGATTATAGTACTTTGTTAATGGGCGAACAAGTGAGATATTTAATAGAACAGAATGTTTATAGTTTATAGTTGTTGAGTTTGGGGGCGACTTTCTTTTATGTTCTGTGTTGCACCAACTTTTTGGCTATTGGGAAACTCTTTGCAGGGCTTTCAAAGATGTCAAAACACTTTCTTTTGGTAGTTTCTCCAGCAGTGTGACCAGGAGGATCTAGTGGAATCTGCTCTACCTCAGCTGGCTCAGATTGTGACCGTGTATGAATTTCTTCTGATGAAGGTGAGTCTTAGTGTATATTAATGAGTGAGATGATGACCTGAAGTTATTTCGAAAGACATCTTTCATATCTATTTTAGAAAGAGCCAGGCCATTTGGAACTGTTTCCCTTCTCCAGGACAGAGCTGAGATGAGGCCCTTGGTCATGCCTTGGTGTCTGGAGGAAGGGCTGGTGCCTGCGTGGCTGGGTCTCTTGGGCAGGTCGCTCATCCACTCCCTTGACTGTTTTAACTTTGTATGGGAGGAGCGAACGTGGTGGTAAAAGACAAGATTACAACAAATTTTGTTTAAAGATCTTAATTGGCTTTATTTGTGATTCTAGAATTGGACAACACTTCATTCCGTAAAATAGGATAAGTGTTCCAAATGAGTTGAACAGAGAGTGTTGGTTTTATAGACAGAGAAGGACTGAAGAAAGCAGAAGCAAAGAACAAAAAGTGGTCAGTCATTTCAAAGTCACTTCCCTTGTGAGGCAGGGACAGAACAAATAACCTGATTGGTTAACATCAGGTTACTTCAGGTTACTTTTTGTTGTAAGGATGAAGGCAGAGGGGCCTTTATTATGATACAGATTGAAACTGGCCTGTTTGGGAAATTTGGCTGTTATCTCTCTTGATTTCTCAAAGGCAGGCCTGATAACAGCTCAGTTTCGGTTTGGTGACGTGGAAGCTCAGTGTGAGTGACTCCATTTTGACTTGTAGTCTGGTCTGTCGGGGCCTAGTGCAGGAGCTCAGTCCAAAACAATGGCCTCCTATATTTTTTATCTAACAGTGGTAGCAGCAAACTGTGGCCAGTCAGGGCCCTCCCTGATACCCCCGACCTTGGCTGGCCTCCTCCACCCTGGGCTCTGCCCCCTCTGCGCCTGCTCTGACGATGCAGCCCGAGCCACCTGCACCCCTCCTCCCACTGATGGCCAGCACAGGAGGCTTGGGTACATCCCTTGAGAGCCGAAGGCCCAGCCGGTCCTAAGGGCCTTTCTGCCTTCCCCTCCCTCAGGGCTGCCCCATCCTCGGAGCTCGCCCAGGGCCCTCTGTGGCCGTCACAGGGGCCACACCAGGGGTGGTTTGTTTTCTGCTCTGCTCCTCCCCATAGTGCCATTCTGGCCTCCCCATGCCAGGCACACAGTAGGTGCTCACGGGAGAGTGAAGGAAATGCCCGCACTGACCGGCTGCTGGGGGATTGGGGAACTCGTATCCTTCCATTGTTTAAATTGCTTTCTGTGTTCTCCGTATCGTTGCCTCGGGTTTAAACATTTTTTTGTCATCTTTGTCTTCACGAAGGTTGAAAAAGGTCATCTAGCAAAGCCTGTTTTCCCAGCCGTATACAAGGAATTTGAAGAGTTACATAAAATGGTTAAGAAAATGTGTCAAGATTACCTCAGTAGTTCTGGTCCATATGCTCAGGAGCCCCTGGAAATAAACAATAATAAGGTAACATCTCCCATGGCAAAAAGGTTCACCTTTAGAGTTAGCCAAAAGAGGGACATCCATGAATGAAGGAAAGTGTTTTTAAAATGACATCTTCATAGTCAACCCTTTTTAGCTTTTTCCCCTAGTGAAGTTTTTTTCCCCTTAATATAAATGCAATAAACGCTCGTTGCAGAAAACTCAGCAATGCAGATAAGCTAAAAGTAAAAACTCCATAGGGGCCGCCCCGTGGCTCACTTGGGAGAGCGTGGTGCTGACAACACCAAGTCAAGGGTTAAGGTCCCCTTACTGGTCATCTTTAAAAAAAAAAAAAAAGTAAAAACTTGATAATCCTCCCACTCACTGATGATCACAGTTAATACATCAGGGCATCGTTTTCTTCTTTGTGTAAGTTTTGGGGAGGGTTACACACGGGCCTAGTTGTTCTTTGTGGTTGTTTTGACATAGTTCTTACTTCACTGTCATTGCCATCATCAAATTGCCTTTAGCTGCACTGGATACTTTACAGAAATAAGTTTTGCTTTGTTTGGTTAAGCCCTGTGCTGGTGCAGCATGCATCACGAGGTCCAATCACCCAGTGGCCTTTCACAGTGACTGGCATGGGGGACTTGGGTTCAGGCTCCGCTGTCTATTCCACTGACCGTGACAGAGTCCCCACCTCCCTCTAGGACTCATCGTCCTACTCTGTGAAAGGGGAGCACTGAATTAAATGATCGTTTCTGGCTGTCACAGTGCTGCCATTGTTTAAATAGTGCCTTGTTTCTTAAAATAACTGTTACACGTACAACAATGACGAATACTCAGAAAGGCCATTCTGCCTTTAACTGCTTTTTTTTCCCATTTTTTTCATAGCCAGTCAAATTTAGCAGTGGGGGATTATATACCAACTTCAGTAACACTGAAGTTAGTAAGTTCTGATGACTCACCACCATCAGACCAGCCACACTGCTCTTCCCGTTTTATTAACCCAGTGGACCTGCCTATCTGTGATTAGAGGATTAGCATATGTTACTGACTCTTCTGTAGCAAAACGTCTTGGTCCACACTCTAATATAATACATGCCTGTTTTGGTTTTGTTTTTTTATTGGTCATTGTTATTACTTTTACAGAAATTTGTTGTTTAACATGTTCCCTAATAAGTTTTTGTATTTCATTTTCTGAAATTATATATTACACAAATGTAATGGATTTTTTGCTAAGCCTTATGTACTTGCGTCAGTTCATAATAGTCACCTGTATGTTTTTTAAAGTGGATGTTGTCATCCTATCATGAAAAAGAGTTTGATGTGCACAAACGCTGTGCACACCCATTGGAGTCCATCTTTCATAGGCAGTTCAGACTGTGTTGTGGCCTTGGTTGGAGCAACGACAATGGCTCAATTTGTAAGGGGACACTGTCCGGGTTGGTAGGCACCACTTGTCCGGCACCCATTTTCTACTTTAGCCTTGTTCTGCTGCCAGATCCTTCTGTGCCCCACCCCCAGTCTTTTGCTCTCTGGTTTTGTCTCTGTAACATCCATGTGTACATGATAGTAGCATGTATCACTTAATAGGCTTTGCATATGGAACCAACCGAATCTTCACAAAAACCCTCCAGGCAGCTGCAGTCTCTCTCTATGGGAAAGGAAACTCAGGGAGATGCATAAGGGAGGCTCAGGGAAATGGGTGGCTCACGAAGGCCACCGGGCTGTGAGCAGAGAAGTGGGATCCAGCCTGGGCTCGCTCAGGCCCCAAAGCCATGCCCTTGCCACCAAGTGGGAGGGGAGATCTGGTTATGGAATAGGCAGGGTTATTTTTCTGAAGAGATCAGTGATAATTCAAAAAAGGAGGAATAACAGGAAGGAAAGTCACCTTGGCATCAGCTAACGTTATCAAGCTTGTGATAGCACTAAAGAGAGTGTTTTGAATTTTTTAAAAGTTCTTCTTAGTCTCCTCTTCTAAACTGTGCTAACACAGAAGCTTCTAGTTTTGATGATGACGCAATTTATCACAGCTGTTCCACCTGTTCATCTTCATCCTATTGTTCAAATGACTCCTCACTGCGCAAAGGGTCTTCACAGATTTAAACTCAGCCGTTTAACTCTTATGTGTCGACATGCTTCTGGAGACTTGGATCTGTTTTGAGTGAAGCTTGTTTTTATTTGCCCTTTTCTCTTCAGGTTGCCGAGTCGTTAGGAATCACAGAAGAAATCCTGAGGAAAAGAGAAGTACACCCAGACTGCGTTCCCCGCAAGTGCCCCGGCCGAGAGGTGGAGGGGGAGCCACTGGCAGCAGCCAGTGGACGGAAGAGGGACAGTGAGGTGGGCATGGTTGGCGGTGGCGCCAGCCGACTGGCCGCGCACTGCTGAGCTAGTGTGGTTTGGCTTCTTCAACTCACATCACTGCTCCCCCGGAAGAAGAGGTGCCGGTTTGCCTGCTTTCCCCAGTCTTAGCTGATCGGGTCTTCTCTTCTCAGGCCACAGAAGAGGGACTGGCCTCAGTGAAAAGGACCAGAAGGGAAACTCTGCCTGAGGACCCCACTGAGTACCCTGCTGCTGACAGCAGAGGCCGGGAGAAGCCCCAGCCCTTGTGCGCTTCAGCTGCCAGCACAGGTAAAGCGCTCTTGGTGGACGTGTCGCATGGCCCAGAGGCCCTGCCCTCGTGCACAGATGTTCTCGGGGCGTCACTTTTCGGGGTTGCATGTCTCCGTGGCTGGATTTAAGAGGATCCTCTGCTTTCTCAAGTTTTAGGCCAACCTCATTCCATATTCACTCCCCATGAGTCTTGAGGTCTTTGAGGTTTTCTAGAGTCCAATATTAAACTGAAGAGCTGCCTCATGGTGGTGACTGGGTTTGCACCCAGGAGGGTCAGGAGATGTTGGACAGAGACGGTTCCCAAGGACACATGCGTCTGTGGCTTGGCTTTCATGAAACTTGGCCCTACATGGCAGCTGAGATGTAACATATGAAAACAAGACATATTCTGGCTCTGGCCAGACCTATCAACTAGACACTTTGAACATACTGAGAATAATTATATGCCTTTCTAAAGTCATATCAGGGCCACCTGATACCTTGCCAGATTCTAAAGTCTCAACTTGGAAGAGGCAATCCCATTTTAGAACTTACTACTTAATTCTGCCATAAGGGCAGGCGGAGGTGTTCAATGGGGACAATAAAAACTCTCTGGCACCTCTTGAGAACACAACTGCCCTTACTTAGCTAGTCTGCGTTTCCTCTTTTAGCTTCATCCATACTTGGAAGCTAGTGGTCAGTCCTAACAGTTCTTAAATATCTGTTATGTCCCTGCGTTGTCCCAGGTGGAACACTCAGGGATGAATAAGGTGGTTTTCTCACCCTCAGGGTACTGACGGTCCAGGATAGTGATTCTTAATTGGGGTGTGTGTGTCAGAATCTCCTGGGGAGGTTGTTTTCAAGTACAAGGACCTGCGCCTCTGCCCTGGAAATTGCAGGTGTGTGGTTTGTAGGGATGGGTGTGGACATGAGTATTTTAGAAAAGCTTCTCAGGTGATTCTTTGCTTTCCTCTGGTGAAGAACCAGTGATCGATCATTCAGTGTTGGTATAAAATCATGCCGCTGAATGACTCTTAGAACCCAATTTTAATACAAAATCTGTCTTTGTGAATAGATGATAGGGACTAATACAAAAAAAAACCCGTTACCGATACCAAGTAGCAAGGAGAGTTTATGTTTTAATTTTTTTGTAAGAAAGTTAATTTGTACTGGCTTGTTTTGGATAGTGAGTGGAGTGAATAGGGCCATAACACAGTACGCGTATGCTTACCTGTTTTTCTGAACCATTTAGGTTTTGCCCCTCCAGTAAATGGGGCCACCTCTCCCCATTCTGAAGCCAGCCACACGATGATGGTTTCTGATAGTGATAGAAGCATACTCCATCTGGGCCAGCAGCTTAAGGTGTTTGCTGACTTAGAAGCCAGGAGTGGCTCTGTGGGCCCTGCTCCTCTGTGTCAGGGTGTCAGAGGGCCGGGTCTTTATACTCCATTAGGAGAGCCCAGGAGGCTGACCCAGGCACAGGTGGCAGTTTACCCTGGAGAGAATGCTCTGGAACACTCTTCAGACCAGGATGCCGGGGACAGCCTGAGGAGCCTGGGTGTCTGCAGCACCTTGTCATCAGGTGGAGTGGAGTCCCTGCTGCCTGGCAGGTCTGGAAATGTAGAGGCAGGAAACCTCTGCGAGATGTGTGATTCCTGTGTGAACCATCAGCAGTCCAGCCCCTGCAGCCTCCTGCCCACGGAGGTTGCGGCCCCTCCGCTTGACAAAATTTTGTCCATGGATATCATGCCAGTAGACTGTGCCTACAGGACTGTGTCTGAGCCAGGGCCTCAGCCTGGCCCGGAGGGATCGCTGTCCAATGAAGGGGGTCTCAGAAGCCATGCCGGGGACTTGAACCAGTTCCCCTGTGGGATGGAGGTGCACACCAGCCAGAGAGAATTGGAGAGTGTGGTTGCTGTAGGTGAAGCCATGGCTTTTGAAATTACCACTGGGTGCCATGATCTGTTGTCTCAGGGACAGAAGCAGATTTTTATTCAGACTTCTGATGGGCTTATCTTGTCCCATCCAGGTCCCATAGTGTCTCAAGAGGAGGACATTGTCATAGTGACCAATGCAGAGGGGCCTGCCCTGCAGATGGGCCCAGCAGAAGGGGTTCCTCTCGAAACTGTGGAGACGTTCCTCACCATGGAGGCGGAGCCCTCACAGTGAAAAGGAGTCAGACCATGACCCTAGATTTGTATGTACTTTATCCAAAGAAGGTCTGTTTCAAGCAATGTCTATTTTTCTAATGTGAATACTGACACAAATGAACATTTTATTTATAAAGAATAATGTCTTTCTGCCATACTGTCCACATTTTTCTATAGCTCATCATAATGGTAGATATGTTACTGGATAATGGATCCCTTGATGACTTGTGATTAATGTCACTCCACTATTACTTGATTATCTGCCCTGCTCCCTATTCCCAAAAAGTGATGTCTCCTCTCCTGGGTGATATGCTGCTTTTTCTGCCAGACCTGGTCCATACTAGACTGCTTCTGGGTTCTGTTTAAAAAATATAAACAAACTAGCTATTCTGGGCAACAATTTATTGAGAAGAGTCTGGGTTCTGTTTAAAAAATATAAACAAACTAGCTATTCTGGGCAACAATTTATTGAGAAGTAGGAAAGAAAGTCATTTCTAGTCGCATTTTATGGATGAGGAAAGTGAGGTGTAAATGATAGGATGGCTTATTGGAGGTCCACAGTGAGACGGAGCTCAGGTCAGAGGCCCAGTTCTTTGATGTCCCACTTCTTTTTTTTTTTAAAAGATGACCGGTAAGGGGATCTTAACCCTTGACTTGGTGTTGTCAGCACCACGCTCAGCCAGTGAGCAACCAGCCATCCCTATGTGGGATCCGAACCCGGGGCCTTGGTGTTATCAGCACCGCACTCTCCCGAGTGAGCCACGGGCCGGCCCGATGTCCCACTTCTAAAGTCACTGATTGGAGTCTCTTGAATGTTTTCCTATGCTGTATTATGGAGGGAAAAGGGCATGGTCATTTGTCCATGCTCAGACGAGAGCATTCAAAGTGGGCAGCTGGTTCTCTCCCCCACCTGGCAGAGACTGTCAGGGGAGACCCCAGGCAGGGAAGGCGATGCTCAGGGACAGAGCTGCGGTCATGGCTGCCCCTCACCCAGGGCTGTGCTCCCTCGGGCCTGCCATGGAGGGCCAGCATTTCCTTCAGCCCTTTCAGTGTCGGGGAGGAACGTCCTGCTCTCTCACTTGATCTGAGTGGTTCGACAGGAACAGAAGGGCACTTTCCCAGCAGGATTGGCCAGATGAGCAAACCGCAGCTGCCTAGGAGAGTCGGCTGTCAGGTCAGGTTGTGGTTGTGTCTTGTAGACTCAGGGCCACTTCTCCAGAGCCCAGAGTCCCACAAAACCACCACGAGTCCCTTCCTGGGATCCTTGTAGACAGAGCCTCCTTTCTGAGGATCCTTCCTGTCCCCCATCGGGCAGCTAACACAAGCTGGGTTGAATCTGACCGTAGCCTGGACAAGGCCCTGTTAACTGTATACATTTATTTTCTATTTATAGGATGTTACTCCATTGAATGTCCCAACACACCTTAATTTCACCATTGTGTATGTGCTGCTATGAATGGATAGAAAATTCAACCGATGTAATAAAAAAGTACCCTTGTTCCACTGTACAGAGTTGAACATGCAGGAGGCTCTCATAGTGTCCTCATTAACTGGACGTGTGTGTGTTGCGTGTTGTGTGTGCCAGGTGTGGAACAGACAGCAGTGAGCAGGACTCATGGGGAGTCCTGTGCCTTATCTACTGGTGAGCCTTCACAGAGTCCCCAAATACAGAGTCAGATACACAGCTCAGCTATATCGCCACACTCCATTAATAGACAGAACCTTATTACATATAAAATAAATGGAAATTTCCTTTTCTCATAAGGACCTTTGTTTTGTATTCATAGTACTTATAATTTAAAATACTCAGATTAGGAGCAGGAGCAAAGAGATTTTAGAGCACAGACCCAGGGACAAGCACCACCTGAGTGACTCCCACAGGGTGGCCAGTGTGGGGCTTTGATGAGGACATGTGTTGTCAGCATTTATCATGGTACCTAGCACCTAGTCCATGCCCAGTCATTGTTAATTGTTACCAAATGTGATGAAAGAAAATTCTCTTTTTTTCTGCATTCCCTGGAAAGCACGACGGGCCTGCAGCCTGGTGGGGCACCCATGGCACTGCAGCCCCGGCACCTACCAAGTGGTCGTGGGAGTGGGGACAGAAAGGGACCACGGGAGAGTGGATCTTTCATGCCCTCTTAGGCACTTTTTTCTTTTTCTTTTTTCAATTTTATTTATATTTATTTTGGGGGGGTACAGTATGTTATTTCAATACATGCATATACTGCAAGGCACGTTTTTTAAAATAAATTTTTATTTTCAGCCAAGTATGGCATGCACATAGTTTAAAACATCAAATACTGCTACAGGGCCTGTGATGAGCAACGGCAGGCCCCAACCTCAGCCCTCTATTCCTGCAGTCCCCTCAGCCAGAGCACCTGCTTTCTTCCTTCCTAGTTACTTACCTCCGGGTTCCGAATTATGTCTGGATTGCGACTCTCTTGATTTATTCATATTAGGTGCTATCAGTGAACTAACTGTTGTGAGATCTGAGCATGTGGCTCCTGTGCCTCCCTGACCCTCACTTCTGTTATAGTTAATTCACAAATTGTTATTAAGTCCATATTGAATGCTTACATTGCTGAGCCTTATTGGTGTGCTATGATGACTTTTTCTTTCTTGTAAGCTTTTATTTTTTCTAGAAATAATTGCTTCCCCCCCCCATTTGCTTAGTTTACTTTTTTTTTTTTTTCCTTTTTGTCTTTTTTCGTGACCGGTAACGGGATCGCAACCCTCAGTGTCGTGCCCGTACCGCGACCGGCAACGGGATCGCAACCCTCGGTGTTGTGCCCGCACCATGCTCAACCAGTGAGCGGGCCGGTCTCTATATGGGATCCGAACCCTCGGCGGGAGCGCTGCTGCACTCCCAAGTGCTGCACTCTACCGAGTGCGCCACCGGGCTGGCCCTTAGTTTACTTTTTTGCTGCTTGATTTTATTTTTAACAAAATCATACATGCATGTAGTTTTAAGTGTCAATTCTCTAAGACTTGTTTTACAAAAGAGAGCAGCCCGTCCCCTTCCTCTCCTTGAGGTAACCACCTTCAAGGCTTTTAAGCTGTCTCTTGGCATTTCTGTCTACATCACTAAATCAAGCTTACTGTCACTTCTTGGTTTTTCGGTTTCAGGCATCATTTATTGACTTATTCCATAACACATTCCATGCTACCCCTGTTGCCATCACTGCCACCCATGGGCACATTTCCCTTCCTCCCTCTTACTAGGATGTCAGCTGGCTGCTTAGAGGTAACAGGGATAACGGTGACTTAAATCAGAACTTTATTTCTCTCTCAAGTAAAAGCATGAGCCGGCAGGCATTCGGGAAGTCAGGTGGCTTTGCCGTGGAGATGTTCCAGGCCCAGGTTGCTTCCTCACCCCCTAGGGTGGCCCTTATCCCCAGAGCTGAAGAAGGTTCACCGCCCTCACGTGTCTGCTCCATCCCCCAGGAGGTGAGAGGGCAGGAGGAGCACACATGACTGAAGGGCCATGATCTAGAAGTTGCACACACGGCCTTGGCTCACATCTCATTAGTCATGTGGCTACACCTGACTGCAAAGTAGACTGAAAGTAGATTTCAGAATCTACTTGTAAGCTGGCAGCCACATGTCAGCTAAAACTAAAATGAGACGAAGCAGCAGTACAGGACAACCTGCAGTCTGCCAGACCGCATCTCCCAGTATGGTTAAAATGGTCGTGGGTCAGTTGAGAGGCTGTAGTAGCAGCTCTAAGTCCTCAGCAGGTCAAAACAACGAAGGTGCATCAGTTTCTTGCTCATGCAACAAGTCCCTCACAGGTTGGTGGGAGGGCCCGGCTTATCACGGCCAGGCTGGGGAACACAGTCGGCCAAGGCAGCCACATCTCAAAACACCAGTGGGGGCCATGCCAGAGGAAGAGAGCTCCAGGAGAGTTCAAACCCACTGGGAAATGCTCTTCTCACAACTCAGTGGTCAGAACTAGCCACATGGTCTCACGCAACCACAAGGGAATTGGAAGTGAAGGCTTTCCATGGGCCTGGAAGGCAGGACACCAGGAATGCCTGGTGAACAGCAGCAATGGCTGCTTAGGTTGGTCTGATCAACAGTTGGGGTCACATTATTATGGCATGCAAATGCTGTTGCCAGGTGAGCTGTGTGTGGTACACTGTGATTTTGAGTTTCCTGGAGTTATATATATTCTTAGTTTTTAAAAAATAAGCTTATCATGAAAACCCTTCCCCCAGTCCTGCTCTGTTTTTGTGGATTTCTACCTTTTAAGATTTTTTTACTGTCAGTTGGCAGAGTCCTAGAGGTAGAGGACATAACCGCGAGATCCACGCACTGTTTAACTAGAAGGCCCATATTCACCTCTGCCTACTTCATTGTTCCTTCCAGACAGAAACTGCTCTGCAGAGTCATTATTTTTGTTCTTCACTTAAATCTTTTACTTTTGTTTGTCCTTAGCAGTATTGATCCTTCCCATTAGTTCTCCTGAGTAACTTGCTGACAGGTGTCCAGGGAGTGCGTCATCCAGAACACATGAGATGTCCTAGAAGGCCTGTTTGTGGTACTAAATCCTTCAGTGTCCCCTCTGAAGAGTGTTTATTCTTTTTTTGTGAGGGGGCGTGGCTGGCCGGTACAGGGCTCCAAACCCTTGACCTTGATGTTATAACACCGTGATCTAACCAACCGAGCTAACTGGCCTGCCCAGAGGAGTATTTATTCGTTAAGTACCCCCCCGCCCCCCAAACACAAACCTGACAGCCGGCCAGTGGGCCTCAGGCGCCCAGGTGGGCAGCTGGTGAGTGCAGCTTCCTGGGCCCTGTCCTGCCCATCTGCCTCTGTTCTGATTCCAGCAGCCTGCTGCTTAAGTGAGCAGGGAGACCATAGCGGAACAACACCATTCCCGACAAATGCTCACCATGAGGTTTCCAGACTACAGGACGTCTGGTTGTCTACTTTTATGATGGTTAGCTTTTAATAAATGCAGCAAAGGCAGAGGGAAGAGAAATCCTAAGAAACATTACCGTTAAATGCTTTTGGGCTTCCAGTCAAGATGGTGGAATAGACTGTCCCCAGCATCACTCTCTCCCACAAATCAACAAATTTACAGCTATTAAAAAGTAATGACAACCAAGCAGGGGCCTCTAGAGCTCAGGAGAAGAGGAGGAGAGACATACGGAGTTCATGAAGGCAGGAAAAGCCACAATGAGGGAAAGGACCGCTCCCAGCATTTCAAGCCCCAGCTGCTTCAAGGCTGGAGCTGGTGAGTGCGTGGAGCAAGAGCTGGCAAAAGCCGCTGCTGTGCCTATCCTGTGAAGTTGCTTGGAGGTGGCAGGGGAGAAGAGGGCCTTGGTGTCCTCCAGGCCAGTAGACCATTAACAGGGTTCACGTAGACCCACACAGGAGCAAGGAGCCACAGACAACTGAAAAAAGGAGCCACTCAGAGGCCAGTGAGTCATTTCAAGGGATCAGCACATGGCCCGTCCCATGGGAAGTGTTTGGAGTGTGGGTGGTGGTGGAAATGGGCCACTGGGGCACAGCATGGACAGCTGATCCCCTCAGTGTAGACTGGTCAGGAATATAGAACTGTAGGGGGTGCAGTCTGCTGAAGAGACTGAGGCCCAGACTAGAGTTTACACACAACCCAGGTGCACCAGACCTCACGAGACCCAGAAGTGCTTACAAGGTCAACAGTTAAAACCTGAGCTGCAAAAAAGCCTTCCCCAGAGAAGCAGCAGCAAAACAGCAATTTAGTTCAACCACAGGGCTCAAGTACTGATCCCCACAGGAAGTTCCCCCATTTTGGAAGTAAGCAAAGGACAAGAAATTAGTTCCAGTGCAGAGTTTAAGTGGTGGGGGCAGCTAATAATCCAACACAGAACTGAAAGAAAAAAACAAAATATATCCACAGATCAGTGACAAAGTTCTGATATTCACCAGTAAAGGTCTAATACCTCCAAAAAACACCTATAAAACCTAGAAGGATTGGAAGCCCTCTGAGCTCCCAAGCTGGGGAGGGGGGGAGGGCCAAGGGCCTCAGCCATGCCCCCCCACATCTGCAACCAGCCCAGCAACAACCACCTAGCTGCCACCAGAAATACCCTGGGCTCCCAAGCTGGGGTGGTGGGGTGCCAAGGGCTTCAGCCACAACCCCCTGACATCTGTATCCAGCCTAGCAACAACCAAGCCACCGCTAGGAGCACCCTGGTCTACCCTGCTGGAATGAGGGGGGTGCCACGGGCCTAGACCATGCGCTCCCTTCTTCCTCTTCCTCCCACCCTATTTCCCTCCCCCTTTCCCTCTCCCTCTCCCCCTGCAACTGCTCCACATCTTAGAATGTAAAAAAATATTAATAAATAAAATAAATTTCAAAAATAAATAGATAAATGCTTTTGATATGTTAGTTTGCACAGTGAGAAATCCTAACTTTCTCTCAAGATACAAGGGTACTTCAAAAGGTTCATGGAAAGATTTGTATTATCTTCAATTCTATTTTTCCACAAACTTTTTTTTTTTTTTTTAAAGACGACCGGTAAGGGGATCTCAACCCTTGGTTTGGTGTTGTCAGCACCACACTCAGCCAGTGAGCCAACCGGCCATCCCTATATAGGATCTGAACCCGTGGCCTTGGTGTTATCAGCACCACACTCTCCTGAGTGAGCCACGGGCCAGCCCCATTTTTCCACAAACTTAAAAAAAATTTTTTTCTTCTCATTATTGGCCATGAATGACGTTAAGAATCCCAGAAACTTTTTAAAGTACCCTCATCCATCCCTGTAATATACAGTCTTATTTTTGGCAAATTCTTCATTTCTCTGGGAAGCCCTTGTTTGTAGGAACCTAGAACTTCAGTTTTATAGGGCTACACTCTATCACATAGCATGAGGTTTCTTAGACTTCTTTTTCTGGGGAGCAATGGCAGGATTGAAACCCCCCAGGTTATTGTGTGATATCAACGTGACACTACTGCATGTGTTGTACTATAAGTCTGTTGTCCTTCCTGGTCCAGAAGTCTCTTTAGAAGATTTTATATCTGATTTGTTTTTGAGCTCTAGTTCTGAGCACAGGGCTGAGCATGTAAGTGCTTGGCAAAAAAATGAATAAAAAGAAAATAGAGGCTGGGGGCTACACCTACAGTCTCAGTAAATCAGGATGGACGAAAAGAAAGCAAATCTGGGGACTGTCATTTACTAGCTCATAAACTTGGACAACCACATGCCTGCCTCTGGGCCTGTTTTCTCATCTGTAAAAAAAATGGAGCAGGAGTTAGTAATAATAGTTTTCTGAAGTCCTCCTGGCTATAAATTCGACACATGTAAGTTCTTTAATAGTGAATTAATGTTAACAGTCTTGATAAACTTATCTAAATAGTACTTTAATAGTTAAACATACCAAAGGCTAAAATGACACAATTAAAAACTATTATTTAGGGCCGCCCGGTGGCGCACTGGAGAGTGCGCCACTTGGGAGTGCAGCGGTGCTCCCGCCGAGGGTTCGGATCCCATGTGGAGACTGGTTCCCGCTCACTGGCTGAGCGCGGTGCAGGCGCAACACGGAGGGTTGCGATCCCGTTGCTGGTCCCCAGTACGGGCGCGACACCGAGGGTTGCGATCCCGTTACCGGTCAGTAAAAAAGACAAAAAGGAAAAAAAAACAAAAACTATTATTTATTAAATATCACTACGTATATAGTTTGGGATCAGAGAATTTATTAAAAAGGCAAACACAAATGAAGAAACCATATAACAAGTGATACAACAGAAAAGAACAGTTGCAAGGAGATGTGGTACCTGAGCATTCTCCCCACACCCTCGGTTTTGGCCAGCCTCTTCAGTCTGTTTCATCGCTGTTACCTTTTGTTATTCTAGCATAATACATTAACCATGGAAATGCTTGCAAATATTGCTGGACTATAGGATTCGTGTCAGAAGAATGCCATGAAAGCTGCTTTATTGGGCCTAGCATGTCCTGGTGAAATGATCCAGCCTGGAAGACCCTAAGAAGGATGGTGGGTGGCCATGCCACAGCAAAGGGTCTAATCCTTGGGCATGGCACTGGATCCTACTCAGGGGACTGTCCACCTAGGAGAGACGGGAGAAGCCAGTGCCTGGAGCCTGGAGGTGGAGCTCACGAGAAGCTGTTTGGGGAGGTCACAGTGCTCGGTGGCCTGTTTCGAGCAGCATGCTTTCCAGATGCAGCTGGCTGTCACTCTCCAGGTAGGGCTGGTGCAGCCACATTGACAAGTAGCTCAGAATGAGGTCGTGGTCCACAGTGTGTGCCAGCTCTTCAACCACAGTGCGCTTCAGGAGGAGCTCCTTCCTGTACATGTCAGAGAGTTTCTGGGAAACCTCATCTGAAACGAACGCAAGTCTCCCCTTAACAGTAGTAATTCAAGGAAGTTCTCTTGACTCAGATGAACCACACTTTTAAAAGCTCCTTGTTAAAAACCAGAATCAGCAACAACACTGAGATGAAAATACCAGAGGGATGTTTATCACTCTGAGCGGTGTAGATTAGTACAATTAGATAACGTGGTCAATAGCATGAAATCACAAAAAAAGCATAACCTTTCTACCTAACCCTTAAGTGACCTGCAATGATTATAAATAGGAGATTCACTTCAAACTGACAACATTTCCTTTTTTCTTTTTCCTTGGGTAGCTGGCCGGTACAGGGATCTGAAACATTGACCTTGGTATTATAACACTGTGCTCAAACTGACAATATTTCAATAACACATTATACTAGGTGATTTTACCCTTTTCTCCCTTATTTAAAAAGCAATGTCAGGGCTGGCTGGTTAGCTCATTTGGTTAGAGTGTGGTGCTGGTAACACCAAGGTCAAGGGTTCAGACCCCCGTACTAACCATGAGTTTGGGTGCAGTGACCTCAATTTATTTTTTAATTAAAACAGGAGGGCTGGCTGGTTACCTCAGTTGGTTAGAGCGCAGCCTTATAATACCAAGGTCACTGGCGTGGATCCTTGTACTGGCCAGTGCCAAAACAAAACAGAGGTTTGTGAGAAATTGCTAAAGGGTCACAAAAATGATTACATTGTGTAAAGTTGAATGTGTTAATTACTCTGATTTGAGCATCAGATATTACTCACAGGTACTGATTTTCAATGCTGTACCCCACAGATATGTACAATCAACTATGTTTCAATAAAAAAAAAAAAAACCTTTCTTCATTAAAAAAAAAAAAAGAAAGAAGAAAATATATATATATAGCCTCCACAGAGGAGGTGGAATTCATTCTACCCATTGTTTTAAAGGGCTAATAATGGCAACTTGCTTCATGGGTCTCTAATTATGTTTAATAGTCTCTGCTGATGATTAGCTAATTAAAGCCAAGAAGAAATGCTCATTTTAAAATCCTGTCTACTTTCCTCCCCATGATCCTCTTGTGTTGAATTTCAAGGCATTGCCGGCTTCTTCAAGTACCAGATCTAAATGATACTAAATGCTCTTATAACCACTACCCTCCTGGAAATCAACTCAGAAAGAACTACTTACAGAAATGGGTTGTGGGCCACGTGTGAAACAGAGGGGGTCGTTTACTCTCCTCCCCATAATGGTAATTTTCTAGTTCACAAATTCCCTTGGTAGTTGAAGACAGCTTTTCCATTTTCACCTGTATTTTGGTCTGAAAAGATATTAATTTGGTATATGAGAACATTATTTGAAATCTCCAGTCTCAGATTCAATAACTATAAAATTTCAAAGCTAAGAAGTATAAGTCTGTTGGGACTAAAATTCCAATAACTAAACATTGTTAACTCCATGTACAGCAAATTTCCAGGGAGATGGAGGCAGACAGTTGTCATGATTTCATTAATTTGGATTACTTAGGTAATAAACTCCAGATTTCCAGTCCTGGAGAAGATAAAGCTTGCTGAGTCCTACTTCACTAAGATTTCTGAACAGCACTGATTATTTTCACTCCAAAGACCTGGATGAGTCCCGAGGCAGGCTCTTGCTGCTTTTATGGAATGAAAGATAGGAGAAAAGGCATTAAATGAACTCATTTCTGACTCTCTTTTATTAACTGCCTTTGAGCTTCCTGAAACCTCTTTGAGCCTTGGTTTCCTCATTTATAAAATGGTGATAGTAAAAGGCAGCCCTTCACACCTCACACGGGAAGGAAATGATGACAGCGTGACACTGACGGTGCCTCCTAACACTGTCCCCAGCCCCACTGTGCACACGAGGCAGCACAGAGTGGGTCTAATGAAGTGCTGACTTTCACAGGGTGGCGAGGAGGATTCAGTGTGTTAGTATTTGTGAAGCATCTTGTTGGAGTTATATAAGGGTTTGTTTAAAATAAGTGAGTGAAGTAACTAGGATTTCAGATTTAACTGGCATAGGTCTAGTAAGATAAAATTTCTAACTCCTAAGAATAGTTAACTTTATGTACGTGGGAGAGGATAAGAAAAGGTATATACATCATAAAAATCTTAATTCTTTGCCCTTGATCCTTCCAACCACCCTCTGATGACATCTGAAGTGGCACGCACTAAATTTAGCTAACATTAATTTTTAAGGGACTCTACTCCTTTCTCAAATCTTTTTAGGTTCGATATTTCACTTGGCCCAACCCCAAGAGGCAGGACTCATTTCCGTTTTACAGCTGGGGAAATTGCTCAAGGTTGAGCTCGGGAAGGATGAGGCCAGAACTTGACACCATGCCTTCTGACCCCCAGTCTTTTGACACCCAGTCCTCTGCTCTGTCCTTTGCATGCTGCAGCAGCTTCCTGTTGCCACCTGACTGGAGAAAATACACTCAGTTTCCCCCACTATACGTTCACAACACACTTCTGATGCCAGATATGTGAGGATTTCTCCCTACTAGCAAGCAAGCCAGCAGTTCTGCAGTAGACACCAGCTGGGTGTCCTCTAATTCAATTCAATTCTGACACTATCTACCTGAAGACAGTGTCAGATTCCTCAGGCTGAGGGCTTGGTCCCCAACACTGCTCCCCACTTCAGATGCCATATGCAAGCCCCAGATTATTTTACCTGTGCTTCTACCAACCAGCTTTAAATCAGGGTTCCAATAACCCCCTCCTTGGATTCGACTGATTTGCTGAGCAGCTCACAGAACTCAGGGGAACACTTACATTTACCCATTTATCATAAAGGATACTACAAAGGATACAAATGAAGAGATGCATAGGGAGAGGCTTGGGGGAAGGGGCATGGAGCTTCCATGCCCTCCCTGGGCGCCACCCTCCAGGAACGACCACATGTGTACCTATCCAGAAGCTCCCCGAACCATGTGCTCTTGGGTTTTTATGGAAGCTTCATTACGTAGGCATGACTGAAGCACGGACAACCATGTAGAAATGTGACTGGACAAAAAGGGTCTGCTCTGACACTAACAGCCTGGCTGGGGAAACTCAGCAAGGCCTGTGTGTTCAGGTTCTTCTCTGCCTCTCTGTGTGGCATTTCTTCGTCCCGGGTATGAGGAAGGACCCCTTCTGGAACAGGATACTTACGGCCTACAATCACGTAAGTTAGGTCAGAGAATTTCTTTATGGCCAGTTCCAAGACCGAAAGGTGGGGGAAAGTTTAGAACAAGCCAAGAACCATGGATGAAACCAAAATATACATATCATAATATCATACCACCTAATTCTAAGAAAAGTTTATAAAGATCAGGAGAGCAAGGAAAATCCTGGAGGCTCAGTTCTGTAGCTCAGCCATCAATAAACAAGGTTATGTATGTGTGTTCAGCCCTGAAATGAACGCGTGTGCACAGCAGCCCACACTTATATTTCCACAGTGGTGGTCTCCTCCCACAGCTAACATAGACCACACCATGAAATGTCAGTCCGACTTAGGGGAAGGGCTGCATTGAACACCCAAGCAAGATCAAATTTGTTAAAGACACTTAAAGCCAAGTCTGGGAAACCATTCTTTCTAAAGGCTAGAGGAAAATAGGAAAAATAATATTAATATCTTTACAACACCAACTTTTGGTTGTGAATGTAGAATGAGAACTTAGTTCCAAACCACTTTAAAATAGAGTAAATTCACTGGAACAGAGAACTTCTTTTTTTCCCCCAGGCTAGGAGTTTATTGGCACAAGCAGTGTGGCAGAGGCACAGGTACAGAACCTAGCCCCTGGAGCAGAGCACTTCTAACCTGACGGCTAGCATGCAGATCTTGGTTTCTAACTGGATTCTTCAATAAAAGGAATCAGGGCTCCTTGAAGAAATGCCTGATTCTAGGCCTAAGGCAGGAAATACCCAAGGTGAATCTGGAGCATCCTTTAGTGCCAGAAATTAAGGAAGTATTCAAAAAACCCAAAATCACAATCTTACAATGAAGAGTACGTCAAAGGGACAGAGGAGCCAACTGAACTCCCAATGGTCAAAGTGGGAATAATTTGAGCAACAAAATAAAGTAGATCTAGGGCCGACCCCGTGGCTCACTCAGGAGAGTGTGGCGCTGGGAGCACCGAGGCCGCAGGTTTGGATCCTACATAAGGATGGCTGGTGCACTCACTGGCTGAGCGCAGTGCGGGCGACACCAAGCCAAGGGTTACGATCCACTTACTGGTCACAAAAAATAAATAAATAAAATAAAGTAGATCTAGATTATAACCCAAAGTATAAAATAAATATCCAAGAGTCCAGTCTGCTATAAATGAATGATTGAAAAATTAACAAATGGGGGAGAAGAGACAAATCTCCCATGCATTAGAATTCCAAATGGGCTGTCTGGCTAGCTCAGTTGGTTAGCGCGCAGCCTTGTAACAACAAAGTCATGGGTTTGGAGCTCCGGACTGAGCAGCTGCCAAAAAAAAAAAAGAATTCCAAATAATTTATATAGATTCTCCACCCTTAAGTGTGGGCTGTGCCTAGTGACTTCCTTTCAAGGAGGACAGTATGAAAGGGGGAGAAAGAGCCACTTTACAATGGAGAAACCTGACAAACACCGTCTCATTCAGGTGATCGATGTCAACATCAACAGTGAAAGTCATGATGACAGTGTCTGTGTGACATGACAAGGCACTTTACCTCTGTGGTCTTTCTCCTCAAAATCCACAACCCCAGTCTAATCATGAGGAAAATATCAAAAAAAAAAATCCCAACTGAGGGACATTCTGCCTGACCAGGACAAAATACCTGATCTGACCAGCATTCCTCAACACTGCCAAAGTCTGAGTGTCACAGCCAAGAGGAGCCTAAGGAGACATGGCAACTAACTGTCATGTGGTGTCTTGGATGGGATCCTGGGACAGAAAGAGGACATTAAGAAAAAAACTGGGGAAATCTGAATAAACTACAGTGTCTAGTTAATAACGACATATCAATCTTGGTTCACTAATTGTAACATATGTACTGTACAAACGTATGAGACTGGGTGTGGGGTGAGGACAGTTTATGGGAACTCTACTATCTGCTCAACTTTTCTGTAAAGATGAAACTGTCCTAAAAAATGAAGTCTACTAATTAAAAAAGCACACAGCTCAGTTGGTTAGAGCATGGTGTTATAACACCAAGGTCAAGGGTTCAGATCCCTCTACAGGCCAGCTGCCAAAATAAATAAATAAATAATAAAAATACACACAGGCTTTGTCTAATGATCTCGGGAACTTAGCCTACCATGAGCACGCAATCAGCTAAAAAAAAAAAGAAAAAAGAAAAAGGACATAAACCTCAAAAGTCCTGAAGTCAGTACTGTATTTCAATCATAAAGAAAAGGCTAAATTACAAAAATGTCTTAATGCGTCTTTTTCTCATTTTAGTTTTTCTGAAACCACACAATTGGTACGACATTTAATAAGAGTAGTGTTTCTTTCTTGAAATGTTCTTTTAAACCTATAGTCTAACTTATAATAGGTAGACTCCCAAATTTGAGGAAGTGGTAACTTGAAGAAATACAACTATGTTTCAGCATATTTCTGTTTAAAAAGGCAAGGAAGCATGTAAAGCATTATAAACATTTCCATCAGAAAAAGGTTAAAATATAAAGATTTTATATGTTTGTGGGTAAGCTTTAGTTATCCAAGTTCAAATATGTACAAAACCTTAAATCCTGTGCTTGGCAAAGGGATGAGGTGCTGTTATACCCACATTTGGTGGCCAGTATGGTGGGTATTGAAATTTGGTCATTAGTTCATTAAACAAACATTTTAGTCTCTTATGTGCTATATTAAGGGTGGGGAAACTACGCTCATAGGCCAAATCTGGCCCATACCCTATTTTTGTATGACCTGCAAGCTAAGAATGGTTTTTACATTTTTAAATGGTTGGAAAAAAAACTCAGAATAATATTTTGTGACAAATGAAATTCAAATTTCAGTGTCCATAAATAAAGTTTTACTGGAACACAGCCACGTCCATTCACGTATGTATTGTCTGTGGCTGCTTTAGCCCTACATGATGGAGTTTAGTTGCAATGGAAACTGGCCCACAAACCCTAAAATATTTACCATGTGGAGCCCAGGAAGTGGGTGAAATGGCCCCTGACAACATACAGGATAGGAAGAGTGACTGTCTGGGACAACATCTTAGGAACATCAAGATTTGTGGGGTAGGGCCGGCCCGGTGGCGCACTGCTACAGTGCGCCGCTTGGGAGCGCGGCGGCACTCCCGCCGAGGGTTCGGATCCCACATACAGACTGGTTCCCGCTCACTGGCTGGGCGAGGGGCAGGCGCAGTACCGAGGGTTGCGATCCCGTTGCCGGTCCCGGTCCGGTACGGGCGCGACACTGAGGGTTGTGATCCATTGCCGGACACGAAAAAAGACAAAAAGGAAAAAAAAAAAAAAAGATTTGTGGGGTAGGGCCGGCCCGGTGGCGCACTGCTACAGTGCGCCGCTTGGGAGCGCGGCGGCACTCCCGCCGAGGGTTCGGATCCCACATACAGACTGGTTGGTTCCCACTCACTGGCTGGGCGAGGTGCAGGCGCAGTACCGAGGGTTGCGATCCCGTTGCCGGTCCCGGTCCGGTACGGGCGCGACACTGAGGGTTGTGATCCATTGCCGGACACGAAAAAAGACAAAAAGGAAAAAAAAAAAAAAAAAGATTTGTGGGGTAGGTAGAGGCAGAGAGGTTCAGAGGAGGCTGAGGACAAGGAAGGAATTTCCAACAGTGTCGCAACTGCCAGTGGTCAAGCTAACTCCAAGAACATCCCTCGGATTCAGTGACAATGACCACAGGTGGCCAGCACATTTAGTTCTTACCAACGCTTCCAAGGTGGCCCGCAATTCCTCACACAGTGTCTCGAGTTCCTTATTATATTCCGGATACATCTTTTCTTCATTTTCATTGGAAGCTGCTGGGCTGCTGTTCTCTAATTCTATCTTGTCTTTATTCCTGGACAAAACAGAAAATAATGGGTACAAAATATACTCTTTAAGCTCACTTCATTTTGTTATAATAAATCCTAGATAACTCAATATCCACATAATGACATCAGGCATTTTGCATAAGCATTGTTTTTTCATATCATTATAATACAAATTTAGTTATTATTTATATTATACAATAAATATGTCCATTGGTCACTCAATTTTACACTAGAGTAAGTCAATTAAATTCGGCTGTGTGGCATCTGTGGCCAAGGGCATAGTTCTGGGTGTACAGAGATGAATAAGACATGGATCATTTCCTCAAGGAGTTCAGAGTCTAAAAATGTATTTCTTAAACTGAAGTCTTTGACTCATGGGGCATGAAATTAATCTACTGGGGTTGCAATCATCATATAAGGAAAAAATTAAACATGAAAATAGATTTAAAATATCAAAGAGCACCTTACATAGTAAGGGTAAGAATTGCTTCATGGAACTTGCTGAGCACGATCCCACTGGGAAAAGGTGGCAGAGGCTGAAAGTACAAGATGTGTTTGAGGGAATTTCACAAGACAGTGGGTTGGCAAGAGCCAAGTGATAAGGCCAGGGAGTTAAGATTCTAGCCTGTATATAACTCCCTGGCCTTATCACTTGGCTCTATATATATATACTTTTTTTTTTTTTAAAGATGACCGGTAAGAGGATCTTAACCCTTGACTTGGTGTTGTCAGCACCACACTCTCCCAAGTGAGCCATGGGCCAGCCCTAGCCTGTATATTTTTAAATTATAACTTTGAGAAATTAAAATAAACAAACACACACATATATATGTATATATAAATAAAATAAAGCAAATCCTCCAATCAGAACTGGCATAAATATATATATCCTACAGCTTGCCTTTTTCTAGAGAACTTTTCCTATAGGGTTACAGCCTTTGGTTTAAAAAACATATTCCTAAGGGGGCTGATCAGTTAGCTCAGTTGGTTAGAGCATGGCAACACAAAACAGACTAAAACAATGTCCTTGCAACACCAAGGTCAAGGGTTCAGATCCCTATACAGGCCAGCCACCAAAAAAATAAAAAAACATACTCCTAGATTGTGAACTCTTTTAGGAAATGATGTATGTCTTACTCATCTTTGTACACCCAGCACTGTGCCCTAGAAGGATGCCACACGGCTGAAGTTAATTCTGCTAACAGTTTTGTCATAACTCCTTTGTCTTTTTTTAAAAAAAGAAATGCAACAGTATGAAGTCCCATTTACCTGCCACCCCAACACCCATTCTTCCTAGAAGTTACCAGTATCACGAATTGAGCCCATATCTTTCCAATCTATTTTTATAATTTTATATAGCTGTAACCATGAACAACGTAGTATAATTTTGTAGTTAAAATGTACATATACAGTTCATACTCACCTGAGTCCTTTTATCACTTGCGTTTTTTGCTTAATATTTTATTTTTTAATTTATTCATGTTGATAAATTCTCACCCTAAAAGGCTCACATGAAACTTCTGCCCAATCATTAAGGATGAACAGTTCAGAGCATGAAGAACTCTATATGTACTTACAATAAACTGATTTTCAGGTTGGCAATATTATTTGCAGTGGTAAAGCCTGCATCATTGAGGGTTTCCCATTTCAGTATTAAATTATGCCAATCAGCTGCATTGTCCTTAATTTTTCTTGCACTGACAGATAAGACAGGTTTTCTGGGCGTTACAATTCCAAGAGTCTTTGCTGATAGGGAGTATAAGAAACATAATTATTACAGAACACACGATCATAGTTGGAGGGCAAATGTCCTCCTAACTTTCAACAGTAAAACCATCTGAAATACTACATCAACAAGAAAAATAAATGGTGTGGAAACTAAGAAGTCTGCACAAACATGAAAGTTCCTGGAACAAGACAAAATCGATTTTTTTTTTCTTTTTACATTTTAAGACTCATCAGATACAACTGAGTCCTTTTCTGGCTTAATGGCTCCACAAAGTCTTTACTCAAGCACTTTGACCACTTTCAAAGGTTGGAAATAAGGCAAAGTTGTGACTTTCTGCCAAAACTTCAGTAGCTCCTATTACCCTTCCTACAGGATAATCTAGGCATCACTCCTTAGCACTCCCCCTATCTAGTCTCAGGCACTTTGATAAATGTGTTCAGAGCTTCGTGGCTCACTAGTGCTTGTCATTCCAAGACACTGAGAAGACTGGACATCAGAGATGCAGATGATCTCATTGCTGCTGCTGCTCTGCCTGGAACTCAGGAGGAAGTCCAAACTCCCTCGGGACCAGGCTACCCCTCTGCCTCAACTTATCTCAACCCCTCCTTTGAGCCTCCCTCAACCTCCAGTTAAAATGAACTACTGGCAACTCTTGAAAAGCTGAGCTGCCTTTGGGACTCTACAGTTCTCTTTGCTGGAAAGCTCCTTCCTTCTTCAGGCTAATGTCGCCCATCCTCGAAGACTCATTCAGATCCCAATACCTCTTGGAAGCAACCCCACATGACTAAGAGCCGACTCAGGCTGTTTGTTGTCCCCAGTCCTCTTGTCCCTCTCCCCTTCTCTACTTAGAACACTACAAAGGCCTGTCGTAAAGTCCCCTTGATGAAGCTAGGACACACACAGCTATACATGGTTTGGAGTCTAGACTCTGAAGACCACACTGTCTGGGTCTGAATTCTGGCTCTGCCACCTGTGAGATCTTTGACAAGTTAGTTAACTTCTTGGGGCCTCAATGTTTTCCTCTGTAAAACATGGATAAAAATACAGTTGACCTTTGAACAACTCAGGGATTAAGGGTACTGATCCCCCCTCCCCTCACAGTCAAAAATCCACATATAAATTTTGACTCCCCAAAACTTGACTACTAATAGTCTGCTATTGACTGGAAGCCTTACCAATAACATAAATAGTCGATTAACACATATTTTATGTTATATGTATTATACACTGTATTCTTACACTAAAGGTAGAAAAAATAAATGTTAAGAAAATCATAAAGAAAATACATTTACAGTACTGTACAGTATTTATTGAAAATAATCCACGTATAAGTGGACCAGTGCAGTTCAAACCCTGTTGTTCAAGGGTCAACTATAGTCTCCATTTTGTAGGGTTATTGAGATTAGATACTAGATGTGAAGCTGTGAGGGCCTGGCACATAGCAAGTATTCACATATTATCTGTTATCATAAAGGCCTCTATCACGTAAGGCTTGTCCATCACTTCTCCAGCTTCTCGCACTTGTCCTCTGTGCCTCAGTGCTAGCTCTGTACAAGTTCTGACTTTGATCTGGAATGTTTTTCTTGCCAGTGTGTGTCCCCTCTCACCTGGTTAACTCCTAATGTTCTTCAGGGCTCTGCTTTTAAGTATCATATTGATTTTCCATCTGTTCTCAAACAACTAACAAATATTTGCTGACTGCCTACAACATGCCAGGCACAGGGAATAAAGTGATTGAATGAGATAGCCCAAGACTGTTTTCATGGAATTATTTTCCAAAGGGGAGGTGGATAATAAGCAACTATATGACCACGATCAGTTCAGATCATAAGTGCCATGTAGAAAATGAAATGGGGTCTTGTGTTAGTGTGACTCCCTGAGAAGGTGTCATTTAGGCTGAGACCTGAATGCTGAGAAGCCAGAAGTGAGAGTTAGCAGCATGAGTGCTAATGTGAGAATGAGCTTGGTGAGTTTGAAAAACAGAACAAACAAACAAACAAAACACTGTGGCTAGAATGAAATGGAGAGGGAGCAGTGTGTGAGGAGGTGATCAGACGAGAACCGTATAGGCCAAGATAAGAAGTTTGGATTTATGGGCCGGCCTGTGGCTCACTTGGGAGAGTGCGGTGCTGATAACACCGAGGCCACGGGTTCGGATCCCTATATAGGGGTGGCCGGTTAGCTCACTTGGGAAAGCGTGGTGCTGACAACACCAAGTCAAGGGTTAAGATCCCCTTACTGGTTATCTTTTAAAAAAAAAAGTTTCGACTTATTCTAGGTACAATGGACAGTGAGCACAGGGCTTCCATTAGGGCAGTGATATGATCTGATTTAGGTTTTCAGAAAGTCATTTCCACAAAGAAGACTTCCTGGATCCTCTAGGTTGAGTTATGACTCGCTGCACTAGATATCTGGAACATCCTATACTTCTGTTATCACGACATTTAGCAGTGCAATGTATTCACTTGTTTAATGTTTAACTCCCTGCTACACTGTAAGTTCCACCGGGGTAGGAACTATGTCTGTCTTGTTCCCTCATACCCTTTGCACACAGTATGTGCTGAATAAAATATGTTCAATGGAGGAATAGCTCTTACCACTCGTACTATAATGTCTAAGGGTTTCTCTCCCCCAGTAGGAGCTCCTGAGAGGATCACATCTGATTCGTCATCTGTCTGCCCCACACCGAGCACATATTTAGGAACCAAAAACACAGCTCCGACGTCAAGAAACTCACAGGCTAGTAGGGAAAGAAAAACCTGTAACCAGAGTCACAGGACAGGGCAGAGTGAAGTACAGAGGCTGCTACGCATCTCTGAGACTCAGCTTCCCATCTGCAAAATGAAACCGACGTCCCTTCAAGGGGTCACTGTGAGGCTCACATGAGCTGATCCACGTAACGTACTTAGAACCCTAGTCGGCACACAGTGAGCACGCGCGGAACGATCGCTTTTATATAAACAAAACGATCTGCGGCTAGTAATTCTTTTTTTTTTTTTTTTTTTTTTTTTTTTTTTCTTGTC